GTTATATTAGCAGGTAGATAGGGTGGTAGTAGGTACAAGTAGTATTCGATAAGGAGCTAGGAGGAGAGGGAGGAAGGTAGGAGAGTTAGCCCAACGCCAAGCGCCAAGCCCTACCTGAGGCATCAAGACCCTAGCTTCACTCGGCCTAGTCACATACCAATCACGTATAGCCTCTTTGGCCCTGACAATAGCAGCCTCTACCTCCTTATACAATACGAAGTTACTACCTGCCCTACCCTTTATATCTCCTAAATAACTAAGAGTTCTAAGGAACGAACTAGCATTCGGCCTTAGTATAGCGAGTAACTAGTAGAACGTTCTACAGAGCTGCCTTATAGCTCTTTTATATACTATACCGATACTAAGGGAGGAGCTATCCTAGTACTTAATATTGTCGAATAGTTCGGTAGGAAAGTGTATAAACTTCTTAAGGAGGAGGACTTCTAGGGAAATCGATAAGTTCTGCCTAGATCTAGATAAAGATATTCTGCTAAGCAGTTAGGGAATTAAACCGTAAACGAAAGGATGAAATTCATACCTAAGGAGTACAGTTTCCGAACTAAACTATAATGCCTTATATGTGTGTGTGCTTTTGATTAGTTAGTGCCCTTAGCTGATTGTCTATAGATTTAAGGTTATATAAGTACCTTTATATAACTACGTAGCCTAAGTAGGATTCGAAAATTCTATAAGTACTAAGGACTAAAAATGCCGGCTACGCTGCTAGCTACACTGCTAAGTCTTACAAAGGGCTTGCTTGAAGCTACGTATACATTCGTACACTTCTTAAAAACCGATAAATTATATGGTTCGAACTAGCTACTTATGTAGTTGCTTAGCAAACCAACCTAAACTAAACTAGAGTTTCGGCTTAGCAAACCAAACCAAACCAACCCGAACTACTACGGGGTCTATTTACTAGTATCTCGTCTCTTTAACTATACTCGATCTACTCCTAGCGCTTATCGTCTATAGCGTTAGGCCCTAAGACTGCACCTATTACTAGATCGACGTATAGTATCTCCTCGCTTTTTTTAGTTCCTTTATTCGCAGTATTAAGCTCTATCGCGGTATCCTAAACTCTAGCATTATTGTTCTCGGCTATCTAAACATCTCCGTTACTATCGGTCGTATCGATAGAGGTAGCGGCTATAGGTCTAAATGCTATTAGTTAACGTATTAAAGAAAAATATACCGGCTATAGCTACCGGCTACGGCTACCGGCTATAGCTGCTAGCTACGGCCGCTAGCTAGATTGACTTACGCTACTAGAACTTTACGCTCGAAAACTAGCCGCAATTCTTTCCTCCTCTTAGCCTTCTCTTAGGTTGTCTTCTTATTCTAACCTTTACTTTTTTCTATAGGCGCTAGCTATCGATAGAATGCCTTATTCCGCGCCTTTCTTCTCTTATCCTTAGCTCTTTTATCCTTATCTATCTTGTCCTTTCTCTCGCGGTCTCGTACGGAATTCTTCTTCGTAGAGTACTCCTCTTTAGTCTTACGCTTTTTAGTTAGACGCTTAGGCAAAACAAACTCGCGGTCTTTAGTTCTATCTTCTATTTAGCGCGCGGCGCGCTTCTCTCTTACTATTATAAGAGAAAGGGGCGAGGGCGTAGCGTATAGTAGTTATTGTCGGTATAGGTATAGAGGAAGAAGTTGAAAGTATAAGAATATCGCGAAGCCCTAATTGTTGCCGCCTACGTAACGTTATATAGGTAAGCTTTCGCAACTACGGCAACTACGCCCCGGTAATAGTAACTACGCCCTAGCAACGGTAACTACGCCCTAGCAACGGCAACTACGCCCTAGCAACAGTAATAAAGCGTAGTAAATACAACCTAGTAACTATTATAGCCGGCAATCGTAGCTAGTAGTCGAACAAGAGTATCCTTATAGCAAAACTACGCCCTAGCAACGGCAACTACGCCCTAGCAACGGCAACTACGCCCTAGCAACGGCAAAAGAGCGTAGTAAATGTAACAGAGTTACTATTATAGCCGGCAATCGTAGCCGGCAGTCGAATAAGAGTGTCCTTATAGTAAAACTAATATAGTCTCTAGTTTAAACTAGGAATCTATATAGTTCGAAAAAACTAAACCGGAACTAGGGAGCTAGTTCGCCGCTAAGAAACCAAACTATATACGTTTGGTAGTTCGGAAACCGAACTACTGCGGGGTCTACCTATACCTTAATACTAGCTGTACGAGTCTTTAGAGCTCTTATAGCTATCGTAGCTAAGTTTAACCTAGAAGCTAAGCAAATAGATACAGTTAATGCCTTCCTTAATGCTATGTTCCTATATACGCTATACCTTAGGCCGCCTAATAGATTTAAGCAGAAGGGCAAGGTATTAAAACTAATACAAGCGCTCTATAGTCTATAGGAGTTACCTCAGCTATAGTACAATCACTTTACTACTACCCTCGAGAACAAGCTCGGAATACAACCTATCGATAACGTAGACTGCCTTTATACTAATCTAGATAAGCACGTGTTTATCTTCTTTTATATAGATAATATAGTGCTGTTATACTACCGTTAATATAGGCAGAAAGCAATAGACCTTAAGTAGAAGCTAATAAAGGAGTATAAGCTTAGTAACCTAGGGAAACTCTTATAGTTCCTCGGTATTAAAGTTATACGTAACAGACAGAATAGGAAGCTGTAGTTGTTACAAAAGGCATATACTAAGAAGATAGGTTAGCGTTATAGAATTGATCCTAAGAATAGTAGGCGAGCAGAGGCACTATTGCTAACTAGATACGAACTATACGAGAAACCCTCTAACAAGGAGACTCGTTATATAGACTTATTAGCAATCCTAGCCTACTAGAGCCGTATAGGTTCACTTAACTTTATAGCGGTACAAACCCGGCCGGACATAGCCAAGGCGGTTTCTATACTATTAAAAGCCCTTTAGAATCTACGGCAAGAAGACATAGCCGCTACTAATTAGTATATTAAATACCTACTACAAACAAAGCACCTATACTTAGAATACAACGCTAATAGACTAGCAATTACTGCTTACTCAAGCCAACAGCTTTATAAGTTCTACGGGGCTTCTAATGCCTTATATAGTAACTATAAAGGCACTAGACAGTCGTTAGAAGGATGGATATTCAGCTTGTTTAACGGACTAGTCGATTAGAAGGCAGTACGACAGTCAACTATTACTAAATCTACGACTAAGGCTAAACTGCTAGCCGCCTTATATGCAGGTTTAGAACTAATCTAGTAGAAGCGTTTCTTTAACAATATTAGCCTTACCTTAGACAGTATTCCTATGCTATACTATAACAATATACAGACTATCCGTATTATTAAGGCTAATGCTAGCAAACTAGACACGAAGCTCCGCTATATAGATATTTACTAGTGCTAGCTAAGGCAAGAACATAAGGCTAGAAGGATTTAATGCGAATACCTAGCTATATAGGATATGCTAGCCGATAGAATAACTAAGCTCTATAGCCCTTAGAACTAGAAGAGATTTATTAAATAGCTAAGACTAACTAGACTACCTAACCTGACAACTAACTAAGATATACAGTTATAGGGGTATATAAGGAAGCAACTCTTCCTCTAACAACCTCTTCCTCTTTAGCAATACAAAGACAACTCTATATAATAGGTAGTAGGCGCCCCCCCCCCCCCCCCCCTATTAATTGCAACTAAGTCGATTAAGCATACCTTTATCGATTAGCGCTAGCAAAAGTGTCTAATACGATAACGACGACTAATTAGAATAAAGGATTCAACCTTACCTTCTAATATAGACTAAACAAATAGTATAGGAAACCTTACTTTGCGGGGTACGTTACTATCGCCTATATTATTACTTCGAACGTTACTTCTACTAACTAATAACAAGTCTACGGCGATTGTATTAGTGCTAGTAATAATAGTGCAGTAGTCTTAGCTAAGGGTAGCGTCCTTAGTTAAGTTACCTATCCTAATTTATTAAATCTGTTTAACTAATGCATATCTTACCTAATCCTTTATCTAATTAAATAGACGCTACCTATGCGATTAATATAATAACCGATAGTAATAATATAACGGGCTTAGTTTAGCTAAACTAACTTTACTATACAATACGAGTACTTAGATAAGGCTTAATAGTGTCGGTCTATACTTAGACTACGTAGGAAGACAACAGTTCCTAGTAATAGGGACTATATATAAAGGTGTATATACAGTCCGGATTATATAACGATATCCTTCTAGGGTAATCGGGGTATGAAATAAGACTCTCTTATATATAGTATAGATTTAAACTAATTTTTTTGTAGTTTTAATAAGGTACTATATAAGAAGTTAAAAAGATTAATTTTTCTTTTGTTTGTATATAAAGAAGCATTAACTACCTTACCTAAAATAGAAGGCAATCCCCTTTTTGCACAAGCTAAGGGGGTATATAACGCGTTAGCTTAGTTATATAATAGGTACGTGACTTCTTAGCTTAAAGAATTTTTACACTGTATTTTAGACTATAGAATAGAGCAGAATATAGGCAATTAACGAAGCCAATTCAACCGCCGGCAATGCAGTATTACGTAAGTAATCCACTGCGCTGTGCGTGATAGTTGCAAGTTTAGGGAGTTGTGAACTATAACGGATCTTCATCCATCTTTATATATATATATATACCATGGTACCTTGCTAACCGCTATTGGGAATTCCACCAATGCTGATGACAGAACGCAATGCAATGTCGCCCCCGTGGTCCACGAGGCTGAAGATTTCTTTTGAAGACTGTTGTTTCGAAAGGTAGGACTGGAATGGAGGGCTTTTCAGCTGAGAAGAGACGAACCCTGAGCATTGCTCGTGTGTTTGGAAGTTACTGAAATGCGAAGTGTCTCACAGCACCGCTATGCTGAGGCTGGACAAGATAGATACCTATGTCTCGTTCGTCGTGCGTATCATGCGCTGGCGTTCTCTCTGCACACGTGAGCTTTGTGAGCATTGCTAAAAACAGTAAGACAGCGAGAATGCTACTGATGTATATCAATCGTTCTGTTCATTCTGGTATTCTTCTGCGCTAAACATCTTGGAATCTACGACATGTATTCCTTCACCATGGATGCTCTGCTCGTCATCACACAATCGTGTTTCGCATCTCCTGTCCTGTTCCTGTTCCCGCCTCCGGCGATATGCTCTATCTGGGTATAAATAACGCATGATCCACATGTGAAAAGAAAATGAAATTCAGATCCTTCTGCAAAGAATTGTTGCTGCACGGCAGCATGTAGAATCGTAAAATCGACAGCCTGCAGTGAGTGAGGCTCCTCAGGCGATAGAACCAGCGTCAAGCTCGTCTTCGCCTGGTGTGTGTACCTCCTTCGCGGCCGTCTCGGTCTCTGATCCAGGTTTCAAGTCGACTGGAGGCTCAGCCTTCACAGCTTCAAATGCTTTACTTTCGCGTTCCGCCACCTTTGATGCATCCCCCGGCATTGGCGCAGCAGAGGTGTCTGCCTTCCTCGTCTTCTCAAGAAGAATTTGGCTTGCTCCACTCGCCGCCCTGGAATGTGCTACGACTTTGACGGCATCCTCAGGCATAGGCGCTGCTGAGGCCACTGAGGTCTTTCTGCTCTTCTCAAAAGACATTTGGCTGGCCATACTTGTTGCTCGCGAGTGCGCAATAATGCTTGCGGCATCATCAGGCATTGGCTCGGCGCTCGCATCTTCCACAACACCGACTGTACTCTTGCGGTTCTTGGTCAATTCCACGACTCTCGGTCTGAGAGGTTGTGCGGCAGCCTTGCTACTCGCAGCACGTTGGACTCTGGTCCGAGCTCGGGAGACGCTCACTTGTCTTGCCACCGAAACTTGGACAATCTGTCGTTCAAGATCTTCGGGAGATTTGACGCGGGGGTAAGGCTCTGTCCTGGCTGATCGATGAGATGATAGGTCGTCCGAAGTAGCAGCTGTTGTTTTGGAAGTCATCATGTCACACGATGGTCCGCTGTCTTCTATCACACGTCTGATGGAAGACGTATCTGTGCACGTGGTAAATGTTGTGGGCGTAGGCGGCAGTGAAGGCTCGCTGAACATTGATTGGCGAGAAGAATCTGGAGAGCTGTCGACCTGTGCCTCCTTCTGTCGCATGAACGCTGCGGCGATAGGAGACACCGCTCCAGGTGGTGCCGTCTTACTTCTCTGGATCAGTCGCGGCCGGTGGATTGCAGTCTCGGGCTCTTCTGTAATCTTTTTGCCATCGACCCTGATGCTTAGCGACCTAGTCAGATGAGGCGAAGTGAGAGCGCGCTTGACTCCACTGCCATTCGTGTTGACTTGCAAACCACCATCGGCATCGGGTTCGCCATTTCTTCGCTTCTGTGACTTCGTTCTATGTATCTTGCTCTGCCTGCGCTCCAATAACGATGGCTTCGAGTCACCGTTGAGCAGCTTCTCGAACATGACAGAATACCTAGGAAATTCAGGTGCTGGCAAGTCTAAGTCTAATCTGGGTGTCCTTGGTACGGCCATACCCTCGTTGCCGTGGTCTGACGTGGGCGATTCATGCCGCCCATCACGACCACTGAAGATGTCCTCTGAGGCTCGCCAAGGATTTGGAGACTTTGCGCCATCGCGCTTGACGGGCGATCGTAACCGTTTTGATTTCACAGCTGGCATGAATGAGGTCCTATTCTCGTTGCGCTCGTCAAGTCGAGACTGACTCCGGTGACAGGATGGTGCTCGCGAATGAGAGAACATGCCGGGATCAGGACTAGGTGCCCTCAAGCATGACAGTGGAGTGCCAGGCGTGCAGGGTCTATCCGGTTCGGGCGAGTGGCATTGGATACCAGCAGTCTTCGGCTGAGCTGGCATCTGGACCTTGTAGAATGAGTCGTCCGTGTTGCGCTTCGATGATTTGCGGAACATGCTGCTGAACGCTTTCCAACTCGACTTCTTCTTTCGGGTTTCAGGGCTCTCTTGCTTCAGCTCAGTAGCAGGCGGGACCGCTGGTGGCACTCGGCTGGGAGGCTCCCGGTTGGGCATTCTGTTTGAGATGTGATCTGATGTATACGATCGTCCCCAACTTGGAGGCGCATTCGACGGCGAGCCGATAGCACGGCCAATGTGTGGCGATTCTTGGTTTATGAGGGGCGGGGACAATTGCTGATATGTAGCGCTTCGTGGCGCCATGCCGGGAAATCGTGCGCCATCCTGGAGTGTCGCACTTGGAGGCGGCATACGCGGCGACGGTGTTGGAAATCTAAATGTGTCGAGGCCGGCCGTGTATTCTATCGTCCGACCAACCTTTTGCAGGTCTTCTCCACATTTCGGGGGCTGAGTGACTTCCTTCACATCCTTCGCTACAATATCTGCCCTTTTTCTTGACGCGCTGCGTTTGCGCTTGTCAACACCGGCTGACTTTGGTCGGCCCGCCATACTTTTCCGGTGTTCTTGAACTGCTTCGTCAATGTTGTCGAAAATGTCACGCTTCGCCACGCCAGATGTTGTCGAAGTCGTTAGGCCGCTTCGATGGTGCTGCATGCGACCTTTCACAGTAGCATTCTTTTTCAAACGATTGGAGGTGGAGCGCTGGAGGAAGGGCAGTCTGGGGGAAATATCCGAAATCATCATGAAACAAGTATCGTTCGCGACGTCCAGCGTGCAGGGTGGGCACGCGATTCAAGGTTGCACGAGAGTTGGCATAGGCCTGTCGCAGTGGTTGGATGGGGCCTTCGCTCCAGGGTCTGTGTCGTTTCGTCGTCGCGGCAGCATTCGTTTGGCAGGCCAACAAACATATGAGAGTCGATGTGCAGCAACGAAATGACTCTTTCCGAGAGCGAGGCGGTGGTGATGTGATGTTTCTGCCGTGAAGAAAAGCGGTGGCATGACGAGAAAGAAAGAGCGTGGCACGGCACGAGCGTCGAGGTGAGACGAAACGCGGCGGAGAGGTTGGGTTGGTTGCGAAGCAGAGAGACCAGGCCCACGAGTGGGCGACAACGAGTGCATTGGAAATGAATCCAGTTGGTTTGAGATTGTGCGCGTGCGAGTCTGGCGAATGGAGGGAGAGCGTGTTTCATGTAGACAGTATCCTGCGCCGCTTGCCGAACCACCCTAGAATAGCCGCCGGCCAAGAGTCACGTGCCAGCGGCAACGACATCTTCCGCGAGCACGTCTACACGAAGGCTGGATTTTAACCATGTACATAACCTGCATACTGTCTCGCGACTTGATGCTTCAGAAGTCTGGCGAGATTACGATAGCAGACGGCTCATCCATCATGTCACAATCGCCTTGTCTCACCAGTCTCTTTCGCCTGGCGGACGTGGATCGCTTTCCGTCTCGACCAGTCCCGAGTTACCATCGCGATGCATACCGAAATGTTCACTGCTGGACATGAGCTTGCCGTTTCGGTCTATGAGGTGCGTTTCGACGCCCTGCGCCAAAATCCGATTCACCGCTTCGGCATCCCAATCATCCTCATTGATGGCCTCCAAGTCCTCCACTCTTTTGCCTTCATCTCTCCATTGTCTCGAGAGATGGTACAGACAGACTTCCTTCAAATTGCGAAACCCATCGTTCTCTACCACATCCGCAACAGCTCGGAGGATTCGCCCTTTCTCGGCCGGCGCGTCTACGCCGATAGCTGACGTGAACAGCAATTGCAGTCTCTCCAATGAAGAAGGCAGTATCTGGGCGAGCCGACTGTCACTTTCGGATGCCACAGTGGGCGGCATCAGTGCGCATGTTTTGACCTGCTCAAGCACTTTTAGTCGGGGGAACAGCTCGGAGAACTTTCCGATGCTCTGAGGAGGGTAGCTATTGGTGCGCATCGACACTGACAGCTCTTCCAGGTACTCGCCCTGTCGTTTCTGAAGAACGCGGAAGATCTCTGCATCGTTGTCACCGCCAATACTTGAAGCCGCAGACAGGAATTTTCTTAGTCTGACAGGTGCCATCAAGAACTTTACCATGGCTTGAAGTGTAATACTGCAGCAGGAAAAGGCCAATTCCTCCACGCTAGAGCTCCTTGGTGGCAGGTCGAATTCACCATTGGCATCGTCCGTGTAGCCGAGTAGATTCAAATTGAGCACTTTTATGTTTGGCAATCTGAACAGCGGCGCTATCTCCGATGGAGTAGCATAGTATGCGTCATGAGGATGCCTTAGTGTTGATGATGTACACACGGACACCATGCGCAAGGATTGGAAGCCCGGTGGCCAAGCGAGTTTGGAGCTGACATTCAGCTTGTGGACTGCATCGATGGCCTCGCAAAGGAACTTCAGCGGGTGGTCGTCATGAAAGTCGTCTCCTTGCCAGGAGTCATATCTATTGCAGATGAGTGAGATGCACCATCGAAGAGAGGGACAACACCACTTGCGCCATGAAATTGAGACGATCAACTCGCGGCAGCAGAGCAAACAGCATGCCTTTGAGTGGCTCGTCCCACCCCTCCCTGATTTTCTCCATCCAGAACTCCACGCGTTCATCGTCCAAGTTCAAGGTGTTGCACAAGGTGGTCCGGAAAGCTTCGTACTGCTCCGGTGAGAAGAATGCTTCGGACATGTCTGGGTAGCTCAAGTCCTCGTCCAGCCAGTCTGCGTCTTCAAGCTCCCTCTCCTCTGCCCATTCCCTGTGGAACCAAGATCTGTACTTTGCCCAGCCAGGCCTAAGCCCCCATGACTCGAATGCGCGAAGATGCCATAGAGGTTCGGGGGTTTCCAATGCCAGGGCAAGAAGCTTTGGCACATGGAGAGGCAGCCTGTCGTGCTGAACAGTGTACTCACGAGCAAAGCCTTGGTGTTGACGAAGACGACTGTCCGAGACACGTCGTAGTTCCTTGCAAGTGAGTGCGAAGTCAAGGAGACTCTCGGTCGGCACCAATTCAGAGATGGTTGCGACCAGCTCCTCTGGCAGGAGCAGCAGTGGCGAACTGGTCATGACGATGGCGGAACTGCAGACCAGAAGTCGAGATGAGTGGAATGACAGGACCTACCTCTTCTCTCTTATACGAGCAACGAGGCATCGCCACACTTCAAGGCGCGAAATAGAGTTGCAGGCAGCCATCTCAGCCTAGAGAGAAGTGGGTCACTGCTGGCGCCAAGACGTTGCTTGGGAGTCTCCATTCATTACTAGTGTTTATGTGGCTCGAAGAGCTACAAGTGAAGGACGAAGTGCTATAAGTGAAGGCCGAAGAGCTATAAGTAAAGGCTGAGGCGACGAGCGGGGTAGGGTAAGCTAGATTCTAGAAGATTCTACGGCGGCTATAGCCGTACCGCGCTAGGTAATAAGGCGGAAATCGTTATAAATCGCGCTTTATAAATCGCGCGCCTTTCTAATAACAACTTCTTCTACTTACTACTACTTACTACTACTACTACTACTACGACTTGTTACTACTTCCTTTCTATCTTTACTAAGCTAGATACTATACCTATCCCCTATACTAGCCCTATAGAAACCCTAAGTAAGATCTCGAGCGCTACTAGTAAGTTTAATATTGTCGCTAAATCTTTATAACCGCGTCGCTAATAGTATTAGTCGCTTAAGTATTTAAGGGTAAGGAAGTTATCGATCTCGCTAGTACGTCGTCTAATAAGTCTCTACCTCGCTTTACGAAGCGAGTTCTATCTAAGAAGACCGGCTCTAAGAGGGTCGCGACTCTAGTAAGTCTCGTTTATAAATACTATTACTAGATATACTAACTCTTAAAGCTCGTCGTAGGCGAAGTCTTCGTATATTTCGTTAGTAGCGTAGTACGCTATCTTACCTTTTACTATACCGTTATCCTCTAAAAGGGCGCTAAGACTATCGAGTACTAGTAGCCGCTAGGTACCTCTACTATTAACGTATAGTCGTACGCTACCCTCCTAGGATCCGATTTTATCTAGGACTTTAGGGCTAGCTCTCCTTTCGTCTAGATAGAACCTAGGAATCGATTTGCTATAGGAATCTATATCGCCGCTATTCGGAAGAACGCGATAATCTAAGAATAGTATACTAATTAAGAAGTTAAAAGTTAGAAAAGGCGAGAGGAAATAAGATAAGATATACTATCTACGCTATAGGGCGCGGACCGATATATATACTCTATAGAGGTTAGTTAGCTCTTTATAAAAAATAAAATCTATAAAGTAACTTATAATCTTCTCCTTCCTATTTTTATCTCGTCTACCTATATAATAGATATATACTAGGCCTATAATATCGGTTAGCGAAGCTAGTAATATTTAATCTCGCGTTTCTTAGTACGTTACCGCCGTTATTACTAATATTAGCTAGTAACCGGCCCTATACCTATAGGGCAGTTTTAAGCCTATATAAGAGGCCTCCTTCTATATTGTAGATAGAGTATTAACCTCGTATAGTACATTGTTTATATTATACTTCTATAATGCCTATATTGTAGGGCTCTAGTTATTAGCCTAAGCGACAGTCTCGTTATCCTATCTTGCTAAATATAGCTGCCTATATTGCTATAGGTTATGTTACCCTTAGTAGCCTATACTATTGCTATAAGTAGTAGTAGTAGTGTTAGTTTCCGTCCTTTATTAGAGCCGAAGGTAGGGCTATCTCTTTATATCTAACAGGTTCGGGTATATTGAAGGTAGTCTCTAGGTACGAATAGCTATAACCGAAGCGAGGGCACGATAAGAGCCTACGATACGGACGATACTAAAGTATCTTAAGGGGCCGTTATAATAAGTAGAGAAACCTCTTAACGAGGGCATCGCTTTAACCCCGAAAAGCTACAAACCCTTAGGACTATTATAGCTTAGGGCCTAGTCTATAACTATAGCTAGCTTCTAAGGACTCGGCTCTAGGTCGAAGACCTATTTAGTACCGCTTGCTCGAGATAAGCCCCGCCTAAGGAGGAGATAGACTAATTACCTATCGGCCTTGCTTAGTTTGCTAAGACTATCTATACGATAGCAATTTCTAGATTACAGGTCGGATGCCTAGACAGTTCCCCTATTAACCGGGTAGATTGTTTCGGGATTCGCTGCCTCGTTTAGATAGTACTTAGCCTTCTACTAGAAAAAGAAGGTCCCCGCCCCCCTGCCTAGCTAAAGGAGATACGAGCTAGTTTCTAGGATCTAGGTATAAATAGAGATTGTAGTCTCTCTCTCCGAGCGGCTTTCGTCTAATACTAAACTTAGCTCCTAGGGGTATATAGGCGACCCCTAGGAGGCTAAATTCTAATACTACCCCGGAGGTAACATTAGAAGAAAATAGCCTAGTATACTATTTTCTCGTATAGCAATATCGAAACAAACTAAACCTATAATATACACTAAAAACACTTTCCTATAGCATTTTATTTCAACTACTTTACGATAATCGAATAAGCTCTAGCTCTAGCGAAAACGAGCATTACGAATTAGCGGAATCTTCGGAATCTAATAACCTACTAGACCCTATTAACGAAGAAATTAGGCGACGACTAGTTGTTATAAGCGCCGTCGAACTAGGGGCTATCGAGCCTTCTACGCCCGAGGCCCTCTACAATGTCGTTATAAAGATGATTTAAGGGCAAACTAACCTTCTCCGTTAGAACAGGCGTCGCCTACTAGAGCTAGGAAGCAGTAGGAACCCTTTATTCGAAGGGTAGAACGCTACGGCGTACGTAGAACGCTTTAAGGACAACTTAGCCGAGTATAGACTCGAAGAGGAGTCGGACTAGTATAAGGTCCGGTCCCTTACGAGGACTACTATTACTAAGCTCTACCGAACCCTTAGAACCCTAGTTAGCTACCTAGAAAAGGACGACAAGTCTAATACCGACTAGGAGGTCTTTAAATAGGCCTTTATAAGGGAGTATCGGGATCGCGATAGCCGTCGTATTAAAGGTAGTCGTACGTAGCTTAAGAACCTCTATATAGAGAGGCGTACCGAAGATAACGACCTAAAGGAGTACGTCCGCGAGTTTATTAAGTTAGCGGACGGCATCGACTAGTAGGACCTCGAGAATTCTTAGAGAACGAGGCTGCTCCTTAAAGGGTTGCCGTAGTCTACGGCTAAGCGTATCTTCCGTCGCTACAAGCTTAGCAAAGCTAATCCTAAGACCTTTAGGAAGTACAAAGAGGTCCTAGAGGCTGTTAAGGACGATATTAATAGCTCCGCTAACGCAAAGAAGTTCATTTACGGCGAGGACCGGAATAACCTAGCCTAGGTAAGGAACGATGCCTCGGGAACTAGAGGGCCTAAGTTTCTTCCTAAATCGCAAAGTAGTCCTAGTACCGTAACTCCTACTATTACTAAGCATTCTTAGGACGTTGCGGACTTAGCTGAATCCCTAGCCTAGCTTAACCTTAATACGAAAGCACTATAGCGAGTTAGGGAGGTTATTAATACTAGTATACTAAAGGATATGCTACCGGTCTACTAGATTTCCGATCCTAACTACCCTAAGGCCCCTTTAGTTAACGTCTACGCTATGCGAAAGATCTATTCTAACTTAGATAGCAAGTGCTAGATATACGGCGGTTTCAAATATGTTTAATTAGACTACCCTATCTAGAAAGAGCTTCTTAAGAGGAAGCTCGTTATATAAGTAAATAGTCGGTTCTACTATACCGATACCGGCGACAAGATTGACTTCGAGTAGGATCGTAGAGCTCCGAAGCTACCTCAACTTAGGAGTCTTCTAGAGAAGAAGTATAGTAGTAAGATCGAGTTTAAGGATACTAGGAACAGTACCCTCGCCGCTATTGCTAAACGAGAAACTTAGAAGGTTAGGGCAAAACAGGTTAAGGAGCGGAGTAGTAATAGTACTACTAAGCCTATTAAAGTCAACTTTGTATCTTAGGATCCGGACGTAGTTACTAATATTTACGCGGTTACTAAGAATAGTGTAGATGTCTACGCTACTATACGGTCTTAGACCTAGTCCTAAAGCAAGGGTAAGAACCCTTAGAACCCTACTCGCCCTAGTGCGGCAGCCCCTACTAGGGTACTAAAGAACAAGGCGGCCGATAAGGCTAAGCAATAGCGCGAGTTAACCGTAAAAACTAAGACTTTCTAGACAGCTGTAGACCGTACTACCCGATCTAGCACTATACCTAGCACCGTACCTAGCACCCTATCTATAGAAAGCCTAGTCGTCCTAGAGACTCTAGAGGTCGATATAGAGGATATTGCTACCGACATTAGTAGCACCCTAGGTCTAGCTAACCCGCCGGCCTACAAACGAAAGTTAGCCGACCTAAAGAGCTTTCGCTTTAATAGGTATATAAAGAAGTATAGTGCCGGGCCTACTAACTCTTACGATATAAAGGCAAATGCTCTCTTCTAGGCTTTATAGTTCCTAGACCTTAAGTCTAACGTGTCTATAGGAGAGCTTCTAGTATACGGTTTGCCTACTAACCTGTTCTAGAGCCGGATTCCTAACGATGCTACCTTTATAAAAGACCTTATAGCCCTCCGACGTAAATAGGGGCGAGAGGACTATATCGACGTCTCTTCCCTATAGTTCCTTCTTAAATTTTCAGGGGCCTAGGAGTTAGTAGAAGGCGAATTAGTAACCTACGAGAGCTAGGAGACTATCGATAATGCTAACGAAGAGGGGATTAAGGAGATAGGCCGAGGGGATAATAATAATGCTAACTCTACTTCGGTTTTAGTTTCTATTAAGGCTGTCCGATTTACTAGCTAATAAATCGGTCGAGTAGGACCTCCTTAACCTAAGGAACTTTACTCTATCCCTAATAATATAGACCTTTCCGCAGTTACCCGTTCCTTTGCCGTCGTTCCCGCTATCTATATTTAAGTTACGATCGGAAGCTATAGTTAGTAGTTGCTAGCAATGCTTAATAACGGTTTAGAGTTACTTATTATAAGTAAGCGCTAGGCTAAACAGCTCCGACTGCTAATAAATAGAGATATTTCCCTTAGTATATAGGGAGTAAATAGGGAGGTTGCGCTAGTAGGTGCCTACTATA